AGAGATGCCAATGTTGGATCAGGCCAGTGGCCCATCCAGTCCAACACTCTGTGTCACACAGTGGCCAGGAATACCAGGGGCCATCAGGAGGTCCAGCAGTGGGGACCAGTGGAAGAGGCTCCCTCGGGAGGCGGTGGGCTCTCCTTCTTTGGAGGTTTTTAAGCAGAGGCTAGATGGTCATTTGACAGCAATGTGGATTCTGTGAACTTGGGCAGGTCATGAGAGAGAGGGCAGGACAGGTTGCCTCAGTGCTTAGTTCTGGCCCTTACATGCCCAGGGAAATGCTGGTCGCCACTTTGGGGTCAGGAAGAAATTTTTCTCCAGGCCCGTTTGGCCGGGGATCCTGGAGGTTTTTTGTCATATTCTGGGTGTGGAACGGGGTCACTGCGGGTGTGGGGGGGGAGGTACTTGTTATAGTCCTGCATTGAACAGGGGGTTGGACTAGATGACCCTGGGGTCCCTTCCAACTCTATGATTCTGTGATTCTACGATGACTTCTGCTTCCTCTTTTCTTGGTCCCCTGTCACAGGCTGGCCTTCGTGAGATGGGAGTTCCCAAACTTCAGCAGCCGGAGCAAAGACCTGCTGGGGCGGTTTGCCATGGCCCGGCGGCACCTGCAACTGGCGGGGTTCTTGCTTGTTGACGTAAGTAGCTGTGCGCTGCTGTGGTACATGCGCGCGTGTGTGTGTTCCATGGTTCTGTGGTCAGACTGTACAAGGACAGATGTTGGCACTTGATACCGACGTCTCTGTGCCCTGACATTTCAGGAATAAGAACAGAATTGAAGCCATGTTGGATCAGGCCGATTGCCCATCCAGTCCAACACTCTGTGTCACACAGTGGCCAGAAATACCAGGTGCCATCAGGAGGTCCACCAGCAGTTCCAGAACCCCAGAAGCCCTCCCACTGTGGCCCTCCCAAGCACCAAGAAGACAGAGCATCACTGTCCCAGACATCAGAACATAAGAGAAGCCATGTTGGATCAGGCCAGTGACCCATCCAGTCCAACACTCTGTGTCACACAGTGGCCAAAACCCAGGGGCCATCAGGAGGTCCACCAGCGGGGCCAGAACTCCAGAAGCCCTCTCACTGTGCCCCCCCCCAGCACCAAGAATCCAGAGCATCACTGCCCCAGACAATGTTCCATCTATGCCCTGTGACTCACAGCCACCGGTGGACCTCTGCTCCATATGCTTATGCAGTCTCCTTTTGAAATCTCTGTACCCTGACATTTCAGGACTCTTAAAAAACAAGTGACTCGTCCTTATGGTGCCTACACTTAGGCAGTGCCCAGGGAAGTCTTGGTACCCAGGAGGATCCCTGCCGCCCTGAATACTACATTGCTCAATCCTGTAACGAACACAAGTGCAATAATCTATGTAAAATTTGTAAAAAGTGATTGCAGCTCTGTTTAATGTTAGAAGGTAGTTTAGTGTTAGAAGAGCCTAGTGGCCTGTACAAACACGCGTATGGACCCTCACTGGTCTGATCCAGCAGGGCTCTTTTGATGTTCTTTTCAGGGGAAGGCCTCGGCCTCCATACCCTGTTGCTGGCCCTCCAGAGGAACTGGTTGGCCCCAGTGTGAGACAGGAGGCTGGACTAGATGGACCCTCCCTGATCTGATCCAGCAGGGCTCTTCTTATGTGCTTATCAGGGGAAGGCCTCGGCCTCTCTGCCCTGTTGCTGGCCCTCCAGCGGAACTGGCTGGCCACTGTGTGAGACAGGAGGCTGGACTAGATGGACCCTCACTGGTCTGACCCAGCAGGGCTCTTCTGAGGTTCTTCTCAGGGGAAGGCCGAGGCCTCCCTGCCCTGTTGTTGGCCCTCCAGAGGAACTGGCTGGCCATTGTGTGAGACAGGAGGCTGGACTAGATGGACCCTGCCTGGTCTGATCCAGCAGGGCTCTTCTGAGGTTCTTCTCAGGGGGAAGGCCTCGGCCTCTCTGCCCTGTTGTTGGCCCTCCAGAGGAACTGGTTGGCCACTGTGTGAAATGAGATGCCGGACAAGATGGACCTTCATTGGTCTGATCCAGCAGGGCTCTTCTTATGGTCTGATCAGGACTCTTCTAATGTTCTTATCAGGGGAAGGCCTCGGCCTCTCTGCCCTGCTGTTGGCCCTCCAGAGGAACTGGCTGGCCACTGCGTGAGACGGGATGCTGGACTAGATGGACCCTCACTGGTCTGATCCAGCAGGGCTCTTCTGAAGTTCCTTTAGTGAAGTTCATTTAGTGATGGGAGCAATCTGCCTTCAGTCTTGGAACTGCCAGGGTGCAGGGAGGGGAGCTAATGGAAGCCTTTGACCATTCTGCCAGGCGTCAGGCTGCCTGCCCGTGGATTGTGGGGGAGGGGCTGCATTTGAACAGGGTCATTCATTATTTAGCTCTCAGAAGTAATTATAGCACTGCATGGCCTCAGCACCCTGCTTGGCTCTCCAGCAGCGAGGAGGGGCAGGCGGATTGTGTGTGTGATAGCAATGGCACAGTTAAAGCCCCCCCCATTGGGGGGAGGGGAAGACTGAGACCTCAGAAGACATTAGGGGTGTGCATTCGGCACAAACCAAGCCGTTATTATTTAAGTTGAATACAGATCAGAAAAATCTGATCGCATGCCGGTATAGCTGATCCCGAATAAAAGCCGAATTGTTTGGGCTTTTTATCTGGGTATATTCAGCTATACAGAATGTGCGGTGGGAGCTGAGAGCTCTACACCGCCTTCCATGTCCTCATTGCCAAGTCTGCATGTGGCAGGGAGAGACCTCCCTGCCGAATGCAGATCCTGGACAATGTGGTTTAAACCGCTCTGCAGGGGAAGCCAAGCCAGTCCCAGGTATTAATCGGTATTCTTCTTTCTCGGTTCTATTGGACCTGAAAAAATTCAGGATTTCTGAAAAATCCCAGATCCGAATACCATACCGGTTTTGGGATCCAGGATTTTTTGGAAATACCTTTTTTTTCCCCTGTTCCAATACGTGTGTGTGTGTGTGTGTATGTGTTTGGCACACCCCTAGAAGACACCTGTAAAGACATGCCGGGGCTCCCGGTGTTGGTTTCCAAGCTCTGGTTGTTCAGCCTTCTCCAGGACTGTGTATGCTTTCCTCTCGATCTGCTTTTTGTAGCCGGATCACCTGCTGCCTTGAAGGGAGAACGTTGACATATGAATTGGAGGTCGAACAACAGGGCACAGAGGCCGAGGCCTGCCCCTGATGTCGCCCCCAGCTCGGAGATTCAGGTGTCAACGGCCTCCGAACGTGGAGGGTTCCCTTCTAGTCACCGTGGCTCGTAGTCACAGACCTTTTTCTGGCAGGCTGGCTGGGAGAAGGGGAGGGGCGGGCAAGGAGGCAGGAGAGAGTGGTGAGATTCATTCCTTAAGTTAGGGTTCCCCAGCGTGGTGCCCTTGGGCGCCGTCGTGCCCACCAACACCTTTCCTGGTGCCCACCACACATTTTTGGAAAGGGAGCTGGGCTGCGCAGCAACGCTCCCTCTAAGCTGTGGCGTCTTGCGAGGAAAAATTCCACTCTGTGAGCTGCTGGCATTAAAGTTGTGAGCGAGCGATTGGGCTGCGGCATGAATCAGTTTGCTTGGGAGCCCCATCCTTCCCGAGCTGCGACAAAAATGTGTGGGTCGAAGGCTAAAATACTGGGAGCCAGCTCACACTAGCTCAGCTTAGAGGGAACACTGCTGGGCAGGGCTTTTGTCCCGCAAGGCGTCTGACCGGCCATTGGAGATTTGATGGGCTGTGCAGATCTTTAAAAACACTGCTTGGGCAGCTCCCTGCCTTAAGCTGCAGCAACCGCAGCCCCTCGCCTTCTGGCGTTATGGAGCAATTGGGGGCCGTCCCTCCGTTTGGTGTAGTGGTTTGGAGCGCGGACTCCAATCTGAGAGAACTGGGTTTGATTCTCTCACGAGCAGTCCTCGAAAGAGCTCTCTCAGCCCCACAGACCTCACAGGGTGTCTGTTGTGGGGAGGGGAAGGAAAGGAGATTGGAAGCCACTCTGAAACTCCTCTGGGTAGTGAAGGGCAGGGTATAAATCCAATCAGTTTGGTGTAGTGTGCAGACTCTAATCTGGGAGAACCGGGTTTGATTCCCCACTCCTCCACTTGAACCTGCTGGATGGCCTTGGGCAAGCCGTAGTTCTGATAAGAGCTGTCCTTGAAAAAGAGCCGTTTCTCTCAGAGCTCTCTCATCCCCACCTACCTCAAAGGGTGTCTGTTGTGGGGAGGGGGAGGGAAGGGAAAGGAGTTTGTAAGGCACCCTGAGACTTCTTTGGGTAGTGAAGGGCAGGGTATAAATCCAATCTCTTCTCCTCCTTCTCCTCCTTCCTTCTTCTCCATCTCCTTCCTCCTTCTCCTTCCTCCATCTTCTTCCTCCTCCTCTTTCCTCCATCTCCTGTCGGGTCTTCCTCTTTTCCTGCTATCTTCAACTTTTCCTAGACCCAATTGTCTTTGTCAGTGAGCTAGGGTTGCCAGGTCCCTGTTTGGTGTGGTGGTTAAGTGCGGGGACTCTAATCTGGGAGAACCGGGTTTGATTCCCCACTCCTCCACTTGCACCTGGCTGTGTGACCTTGGGCAAGCCGTAGTTCTGATAAGAGCTGTCCTTGAAAGAGAGCCGTTTCTGTCAGAGCTCTCTCAGCCCCGCCTACCTCACAGGGTGTCTGTTGTGGGAAGGGGAAGGGAAGGGAGTTTGTAAGCCGCTCTGAGACTCCCTTGGGTAGTGAAGGGCGGGGGGTATAAATCCAATCTCTTCTCCTCGTCCTCCTCCTCGCATGGCAGTAAGGGGGCGGATGCCGGTCGACCTTTCCAGATCCAAAGGGTGTGGCGGGCATTGGGCACCTTCTGGCCCGCAGACTGTTGATTTTCCAGCCCAAGACGCCAATCTCTGTTGTTCCAGGCTGGGGCTCAGCTCTCTGCAATAACTGTGCAGGTTTCCCACGCCTGCCGAGCCTCTGGGCGGGTGATGTCGGGTCGGGCTTTTATCCCCGAAGGTGCTGGCCGGGCGCTTGTTTGCACAAGTGTGAGCAGAGGGCATTGAAAGCCAGCCGGGTGGAAGGGGACGGAGATGATCGCCGGGCAGCCATCTGGGCCGGCCGCGGTTCCCGTCTGCCGCCCCCACCCCACCTGACTGGGTGCTGCTGCTGCTGCTGATCTCTGGCTCGCTTGGAGGCCAAGAGGGGGTGACGGGTTCAAAGGATTTTTCCAGGCTGAGGCCAGACCAGTCATCTCTGTCCAGGAGAGCTTTTCTGTTCTCCACGAGAGCCAAGGGCTCCATCCTTCGACGAGATGCTGAGCAAGTGCAAATTGAAAGAGCGGGTGCGGCTGGTGCACTGAAGAGCGCCAGACGAAGATCTGCGGGAGCCAGAATCAAATGCCCACTCCACTGTAAAGATAACTGGCACACCCTGGCAACCAATGCTCATAAGAACGTAAGAGACGCCAATGTTGGATCAGGCCAAAGTTCCATCCAGTCCAACACTCTGTATCACACAGTGGCCAAAAATACCAGGGGCCCTCAGGAGGTCCACCAGTGGGGCCAGGACACCAGAAGCCCCTCCCACTGTTGCCCCCTCAGCAAGCACCAAGAATACAGAGCATCCCTTGCCCCAGACTGAGAGTTCCTATCTATACCTTGTGGCTAAGAGCCACGGATGGACCTCTGCTCCGTATGTTCATCCATAAGAACATAAGAGAAGCCAATGTTGGATCAGGCCAATGGCCCATCCAGTCCAACACTCTGTTGTCACACAGTGGCCAGAAATACCAGGTGCCATCAGGAGGTCCAGCAGTGGGGCCAGGACACTAGAAGCCCTCCCACTGTTGCCCCCCCCCCAAGCACCAAGAAGACAGAGCATCCCTTGCCCCAGAAGGGAACACTGCCTGGGACTGCCGCTCTTTCTCAGGCTAACCCCCCCCTCACAGAGTTGTTGAACAAATCTTGAGTCCAGTGGCACCTCGAAGACCCACAAGGTTTTATTCAAGGTATGAGCTTTCGTGTGCAAAGCACACGAAAGCTCATACCTTGAATAAAACTTTGTGGGTCTTCAAGGTGCCACTGGACTCTAGATCTGTTCTACAGCTGTAGACCAACACGGCCGACCACCTGGATCTATCACAGGGCTGTTGTTATGCTTATTATTATTATCGTACAACATTGTGTATGGAATAGCCAGGAGCAATGCTTCCCTCTAAGCTGTGGAGTCTTGTGAGCAGAAATTCTACTTTGTGAGCTACTGGCATTAAAACTGTGAGCGAGCGATTTGGCTACTGCCTAAATCAGTTTGCTCTAGAGCCATCCTTTCTGAGCTAAGACAAAAATCTGTGAGCTGGAGGCCAAAAAACTGTGAGCTAGCTCACACTAACTCAGCTTAGAGGGAACACTGGCCAGGAGATACTAAGATTGTCCGGCAGGCAGAAGGTTCTAGCTCTGTAGTGTCTATGCACGAGCTAGGTGTTTTATAAGGCAAGAGATGTTCAGAGGTGGTTTTGTTGCCTGCCTCTGCGTCCTGACCCTGGTATTCCTTGGAGGTCACCCTTCCAAATACTAGTCAGGGCCCACCCCGCTGAGCGTCTGAGACCTGATGGGATCGGGCCAGCCTGGGCTATCCAAGTCACGTCGTTATGCTAAAAGAGGGCAAAGGGAACCACAAAAGCCCCCCTAAACTCCTTGGATGAAACATGGAATAAAAAAGTCCTTGGTAAAAAAAATAATGCATTAAAAATGGCAAAGGTATCATCTGTGGGTGCCAGCCTGATTTAATACTGGGCATGTTTTTTATTTATTTGATTTGTACCCTGGGAAACAGGCTCAGGGAGGCTTACATTGGTTGGTACATAAATAGCCTTTAAAATCCATATAAAATCATATGAACATCCAGTTACAAATCTATATATCTAATTCCGAAGTCGCCCCCTGCGTGCGGATACTTATTTCCGCACATCGGGGGCACCTGGGGGGGGAGGGAGATGTTTGTGCACACTTGGGGCAGTCCCCAGGTGTGCACAAAAAT